TGACTCTTGTCATCGGTGGCGATCAGAGTGATAAGAGCAATAAACGAGATTCGATGTCTTATTTTTCCTTGATGAAATTTAATTAGATGCCGTAAAAATAACGTCGGGTAGAAACCAAATCATTGGCCCCTCATAAATTTCGCATGGGGTATGTTTTTAGTTATAGCTTAAAAGACCTACCAGGTTTTATTTTTTCTCTTACCTGGAAATTCTAAGAAAAAAGAAATGATTCTTAAGCTAGGCCGAAGGTCAATTACAACTTTGTTCAATGGCAAAATCAACATGTAGTCCTCGAAGCCCGTTCTTAATAAAGCCCTTTAAAAGCATTCGAAAACTAGGTGCGTCTTTTGCAAAGTGCTTAGCTTATGACTAAGCAGTAACTGTGGCTACTGACTGCATTGCTTGTATGTACACTTTTATCTAGCAAAGGGGAGAAATAATTTTAGGCAAAGCCTGTGAAACCAAGGGCGAATCGATGCTTTCTATTACTAACAAAATTTCAATAAGAAAGTCGATTTTTCCCCACTTTGTACACTTTAAAAGAATTTGTGTCTTTGTTCTGCGTGGCTCATACGGCGAAGCTTACAAGTGAAATTATTTTCACATCGAAATTTGTTCCGGCACCTGTAGGGACTAGCTTTTATGAAAAGGTAATGGAGCTTTTAGGCCTATAACGCGTTTACATCATTCTTAATGATTCTGTTTTTTTTTTCCGCAATATTCAAAGAAGGGAGTCAACGGGTGATCTCTCAGATAATGAATGCCAAAAATGAAGATGATTTTCTGATAGAAATTGTCGCGGGGTCTTTTCGCCTCGAAGTGCAGTGAATAGCGTCTGCTCGCTTACTAAAACCTTTACAAGGGCCCTACTACTGTGGAATAGCGTGCATTCAACTAGTACGAGTCATAAAGTAGAATCTTTATTTCATGTAGCAGCATAAACGCAAGGTGTACATTCGTTCGCATACAATATCCAATTGTTCCATGTTTTATTGAGTTAGCCACGGTGAAAATATGACGGTACATAAAACAAGAAAGATATCTTCGAAGCTTCCTTTTTCAGTTGACCCTAGGTTAACCACATAGCTGTTCCTTCTTTTGCTAAGGACGTAGCAAGTGCTAGAACTTTTTTTCCTGTTACAATCTTCGACCCAATAGGTTGACGATGTCCGTCAGTCAATTTTCTAACACTACGTGCATTTTTGACGCCGGTAAGCTTTTTTTTCTGATGAAGTCCTATTGGATTAGATAAGATAACGTGATTTAACGGCTCGCGTAGTGCATGTATACGTTCTATGAAGCCGCTGTGGCTTCGGTTGTGATGATTTCGGCCGACGGGAATCGGGCGATGTTTTGATGGCTTCGAATGAGGGACGGTTGTCATTCTGCTTCAATTGAGTAGGATGTGGTTCATTTTTCTGGAATATAGAACGAGGCCTTGAAGTTGGCTAGCTTTCAGCAGCAATGATAGCGAAAGCTCGAGGAATTGCTTCAGTAGAATTAGGGGAATCTGGCCGGCAAGCTCAGCTCAACCAATCGGTATACACATAAATGAAGAGGAATTTTATAGTTTGTCTCGTTGGCGACTCAATTCTCTACCGGAAACACTGTTTTCCAACATGCTAGATAACCAAATGGGTCGGCTGAGAAATACTGGGTTATATAACTGGAGACACAAAGATGATTTCCAGTTCGTTAAAACGGCACAAAAATTCTATCGAATTAACAATATGTCGTTGTAAATGATGCAGGAATCAAAAATCCATATACTGTTGCAATTGAAAGGGCAACAAGCACGACCCCTGCAAACGATCGACACGGCATTTATAGATGCACTTGATTCAGTTGCAAATAACTTTAAGCATTGCCAGTTTATGATTTGCTTAATAATCATTGTATAATTTCGTGCTTCCAGTTCTGGGCAATACACATACCGCGTTACACAATAAGACGAGTAGAACATGCAATATTATAACTACATTCAAACTATGGAAACAGTAACAATTACCAGCATTCCAGAAGTCACGGCTTGAAGATAAGCTTCCCCGAAAAAAAAAAGCATAGGCACCCGCCCTGTGCGAACAAAGCGATCAAATATTTACCACAGAAGAACAGAACAAAAAGAATAAGCTACATAGGTAATGACGCTTATTTCTAAAGTATTCATATTTATATTTCAATGTGTTCCCCCTCCACGACCAGACGTTCACCGATGCAGCATTGTTTTAGAAATGAGGACTCCCGTCTGCTCGGGCTAGGCTTTGAGCATTCTCGAAGTCCTGAACTAGGCCGTAATCCAGTTTTTGTTCTTGCTTGAAACAAATTTACTCTCTTTTTTGATAATCCAATAGTCCTTCGTACAATCAAATCTGCACGAACTAACAGCACAGTCAACGTTTGTTCGCAGAATACGGAGATTTAAATCAATGTAAAGGTCAATTGTTTTTTTGGACCAACAGGAAAACATTGAACTAACTAATTTCCGTTTCAATTATTTTTTTTTTATAAATAGACGCTTCAGGTACCGACCATTGTGAAGAAGCAGCAGCAGCAGCACGGGATTGTTAATAAAACATTGTTCCTTTTCCTAGTGAAATCCGCTTATAGGGCAACTGTTTACAATAAATTATATATCTTCCAGATGCTTGGAAATTAAACCTTCACAAGGTAGAGGAATCTATCTAGACTATGTTTAAGCTGGTAAGTCTACGCTAATATGATTATTGCGGGATCACGCGAGTTAAACGCATACGACAGGTAACGCTTTTTTTTCACGAAACTGAAAGGCTTACGCACTAAAAAAAGAATGAGAATTTAAAATGGACATGCTTTGATAAACTATAGTTAATCATGAAGTGATGTTAAGGTGTAAAAAACATGCATATGTACACATACGGTATTAGTCCGATCCCGTATCCGACGGATACAGTGCTTCTCTGTTCAGGCACAGTCGTTCGAAAAAAACAAAAAAACCTCTGAATAATACATGTTTTAGCGGTTAGTTAAAAAATGAGGAGCCTTCTAGCTGCGTTTACGCTATAGGGCCTATTTAGTTGAAGATTCGTGAAGCAAATAAGTGGGAAATTTCGGTTCGCCTTGCAGTAACATCATGTCTGTAAGTGTCGGCACGACTATCAAAAAATCTGTCTAATCAGAAGATGAAATGCTTCTGTGAGTTAATGACATAGTCGTTTGCGTTATTTCCATGAGATCGGAATCGTGACACTGACGCATGGCCGATCGGTTCTGCGGTGGCTTTAAAGAGGCACACACCCCTCTCCCCCCCTTTCTTCCCCTCCAGCTGAAAATGGTGACACGGCCAAATCTAATCAGTTTAAGAAATTAAGCCAAAAAAATCAACTTTTAAAAGCATACACACAACATCGAAATAATTAGTCGTGAAAGAACATCTAAAAAGGTAACAAAAAGAAACACACATATTAAGAGCAATCCTTATCACTCGATAAATTGTAAGGGTGCCACCTGAAATTGGCTTCACGATTGATCTTTTTTGACGTTCTGTTAATATCAATATTATGCAGGGTGCGCGCGTGTTTTTGTGTGAATATTCTCTGTAAAAACATATTTGATGTGTTTTCTTTTTGGTGTTATTCAACCGGAACTGGATCGACATCAGTCAGGGCGTTCTTCCCATGACATCTCCTAATGACTGGATTTAGATGACCGTATAGTTAAAAAAAAGTCCTTTGAAAATAGGCTTTATCGTTGCACCAGCGAAAAATTCCGCCCAAAATGCTTCGTTCGCATTTGACGCCAAATAAAATAGGATCTATTTAGAAACTGTATAAAAAATCTTCAAAATGAGACGCTCAATCCGACTTTTCCTTTTATTTATTGAGTTCTAATTTCGTTTGAACCATTTTTCAGGACTGCCATCGCTTTTCTAATATGGTCACACCTTCATGTATACGTTTAGAGAATATTGGCAGTTAGAGTCATTGAGATATACGTTGTCCAATAAAAGGCCCATGCAAACTGTGAGGTGCGTCGAACTTCTCGCATCAAAGCTTGCTCGGATCATGCCGATGTTCACAAAAAAAAGTAATTGAAAAAATAGTGAAACATATAAAAACTTAGTTCTTTGACGAAGAAGGAGATGAAAACGACGGTATTTGCGAGCCCAAATAGATTTAACAGGCTCGTACCTATATATGATGAAGGTTTTCATATGCTGGGAGTTTGAATGTGCTGCTCGGAAGGTCAGTCATTGAAAAAAGTATGAATTTGGGTGCCGTCTCTGTGATGAGCTAACGTATCGAGATGTAAACGATTTCTCGACTCAAGTCAGTTGTATTTACCGGTACCCTATTAGATCGTGTGCCTGAATGCTTAAACCTCTAGGGAAGAGTTCGTTCGCAGATCAGGACAATGTGGCATGAGCTGTCCGTCCGATGTGGAGGGACGCGTGCACCGTAAGTAGATAGATACACGCGTGTGCAAGTGGCCAAACGTGGATAACTAGCATGGAGCAGAAGCCCTTCTTGCGGCCTTTGTGCTAGTGGATTCACGTGATCACGTATAGTCTAAATCATGAAACGGCTTTAAAGAAAGCAGTGCTGTCGTACGCAGTGAATCAATGCAGACAGCATCGAAAAAGTGGCAGATCTATTTGACGTTAGATAGACACGTCAATAATACGGTTCATAAATATCGAGATGACGTCAATTGTAAGAGATGCGATCCGGGACAGAAAGATCAGATAGGCGGAACAGCGGCCGATATAAGGATTACCAACGAAAGATCGCCAACCTAAAACAACTTCTTAAGAGATTCTCATGCTCCGAAAAAAATTAATATTCACATTGCCGATAGCAGAAAAAATATGCCATTCGATAGCTGTCACTCGCCAAAAGGTAATCGCTGACATATTCTATATCTTAAACGGTTCACCTATGCCAATGTATAAGAAGTCGTGAGACTTCCTTCAGGACCTCACAGTGATATCACTGCTTTAATGCCTGATACTAGCAGCAACTTACTGGTATGATTGTGATGACTATTGTTGACAGTACGATCGTTGATATCGTGTGCCACCGCCCTGGAAAGAAAAGACGAGCAGATTAGAATATGTATTACGTATGGTTTCCTACAGAAATAGACGTTGTTCTATTACGAAGTCAATTTTAATTTAGTTATTATTTTACCCTATTTTATTTGGTACCTTGTCGGCGGCTGCAAACATCTATGCAGTCCCCTATAAGTCCAGGCATACCGAATCAAGGAGCTTCCCACTAAAATAGGACCATACCTTAATCACTCGGCTAAATCATGTAAAGGGTAAATCTCGATCAGATCGGCGGCCCGTTAGATCAGTAACAGATATAACAACATTAAAGAAAACTGGTCATCTTTGCACGTTTGGATATTTTCAACATTGAGTCCTCCTCTGCAGCTCTTCATTTTTCCCTCTATTTCATGTTGCATCATACGATCGCTGTCAAGGATCATGACCACTTTCTTCAAATGGTCGATTTTGCGAATCCACGGCTTTTTTTTGCCCAGTTGTATTATTCTATGGTAGACCACCACGTGACAATGCGTTCACATTAAACATGATATAATGTATGGTATTATATGGATAAGAACGGGTTCGCAGTCGCAGTCGCGGTCGCAATCGCGCTTGTCGTTAGCGTTTTAAACGTTTAGATAAGCGTTTTGCTCGTCCTGTCCCGCTTTGCTTCCTGCGATGCTGCTGGCGTCTAATATGTTACCTGAACCATGCATACGCTGCCGTTATTTCGAAAGCCGTTGTTGCCGCTGCTACCCGCGTCTTGCCATTATCAGCAGTGGCGTAGCATAGCATGCGGGTCGAGCCTTTTTGAGAGGAAATTTCTGAAATATTTACTACGTCACTTCGGTGTTCTACTGCCCTTTGTTTGTCGATACACAGAGCGCCAGCTCACCTGCGCCAATTTCAGCGAGCCAAGAATAGCTAATGTACAATGCCAAACAAGCTGGTCACTCTAGTAGCCACATCCACGGCAGCGTCTATGACCACAAAGCAGTCATAAGCGATTGTTTAATAGTACATTCTGCTAATACGTCGGGTGGACGGACAGACGCACACGCGTGCATCGGCGGACGGTCATCTGTTCGCGGCCACCGCAGGCAATATCTACAGTTTTTCTCTCCTGGCCACTAATTATAATATCCACATTTAGATAAGAACAGCTTCGTCAGTTCCCTATATAGATCTTACATATGGCGTCAATCACAATACAAGTATCTCGTATCCCATAGCGTGTACGGTGCCCAATTTTGTGTGCGCTACAAACTATTGCAGCAAACGGATATGGAATTGTTTTGTGGAAAATTCACCAGCTATTTTGCTTTATTGTTCCACGTTTGTAGATAGTGTATGATAGGGTTTGATTGACGAGTATATATACATACGTAAATGTAACGGGTTGTCAAAAAAGTATCGACCGTTTTTAGCTAAAATATATCTCTTTTTTTTTTTTAACTTAAAATAATATACTAAACTAAATATGCACCATTTCGACTAACGACCTTCCGTAACTGTTTTTTTCGCTTCTGGTGACGTCAGAAGCAAAAAAAGGGGACATTAAAAAAAAAAAGGGGGCTCATTACTATAGAGCGTCTGTGAAAAAAATTATAACAAGTGATTTTTGCATCTCTTTGTTGAAACTAAATTAACAACATGAAGGAAGTTCAGCAGAAACCACAGCGACATCTGGTGGCGGAAGATCCGGACTATGCAGCTCTCTCCTTCTCCACGCAGGCTGGGTGGCCAAAGGTGTATGCGGCCTGGCATTGCCCTGATGAAAAATGACGCCTTTTTTGATTACTAGTTCTGGTCAGTTTTTCATAGGCTTGTTGTAATATTGTTTGTTGTTGACAGGAGAGATTTGAATCGATCGCTTTGCCAGACGACAACAGCCCATGATGCACGACTTCTTTTTACTACCATCAGACATATGGCATGATCACCTTCTTTGATGTCAGTCAGCCTCACCAAAAATGGCAGACATATTTTGATTTTTTTTCGCCAATTATTGTTATATGTGTTCTATTTCGTATCACTCGTGATCAGCCGCTGATGAAATAGTTCAATTTGCTTGCGTTCCGAAAGAATTTCGCAGATGAATACGTAATCTGGTAAATTTTTCTACGTCAGCTCGTGTAACACCCAAACGTAAAACTTCTTTTTTAGCCAACCAGCATTCTTCAAACGGTTTAAAACTATTTGGCAAGGTTTCTCGGCGATTCGATGGCTACTTATGTGTCGCTCTCGCTCAACTTTCACAATAATTTCCTAAACTTTTTTTCCCTAATTGGTCGGCCATTGTGGCGAGCATTTCTTTCCAGAGCCATCTTTGGTCCGCTTCTTCCGATAACTGATCTTGACCACAAGCAGCACATTTTTTTTTATGAGCCTGGGCAACATTTGTGCCTCTATCGTAACAACATTGTAAAGTATAGCAAATTTTTGCAGAAACTTCGTCCACGTTTGAAGCGTTCTATGATAAATCTGAATAAAGACATTCCAACAGTTTTTGCTATTGCCAAGTCTCAGCTATCTAATGATACTAACCCCCTAATCAGCGTGAGCCATATTATATGAGATATGTGACTTTAAAGCCATCTGGCTAGAAAAACGGTCAGTGTACACACACGCACACGCACGTGTGTATATATATATACACGATGATAGTGAGAGAAAATTGCAATTGCAGATAGGAGGTTTAGTCCCCGAATGTGGGTCATCTGCAGCAGACGAGATATTCTTAATCTTGTCTGGCTTGTACGGCCTAACAAGAGCTTGACTGTCTACTTACTTAATTAGTGGAGAAAGAGGGACAGAGAGAGAGAGAGAGCGGGGGAAAGAGCAGTGTGTAAGTATCCGCGCCGCATTCAAGCCGTTGGGGTGTTTAACAGTGTACAAGACCATCGTTGTCTACTGATAGGCTTCAATAAAGCTGATCCAGCACGAGATAGTCTACCCCGTTTCGCTAGAGCATTGTTGTCTGACAGTTAGCAAGTATTTGCTGCGGATGTCACTAGATATTGGTGTTGTAGAAACTCAATCATAAGTGATGGAATTTATTTTGCAATGATCATCACTTTATCTAACTTTAACCAAACAGTAAATATATGCTGGTTTTTTTTTAGCGTACAATAGATCATGTGAAAATGTAGTAATTTTAACTCTTGCCTTCATACAGTCCAATAGGTAATGTGTACACCCATTTCACTTCTGGCTGGGCTTAATATTTGTCGCTAGGAGAGTGTTGCACGTATAGGAAAAAGGTTCGATTTCTGCCAGCTGCAATAATGTCTATACCGAATGGACAGCGTCTGAAACGACTGAATGTACGTTAGACATAGCAATTATAAGCCACCCAATCATGCGTTGATTAATTTGTTTCAACATCATACACATTGCCATACTATGAATATCAATAGGCCACACCCTCCGAAGTGTCTGTTAGTGCCACCGGAACCGAATCTCAATGATGATGTGACTTAATCGATCTTAGGCATCGGGTCCCTCCGATGTCCCGCATGTCCAACTACCTATGGCTAGACAGACTCATCAATTGGCTAATTAGGACTGCTAGGCTGCTTTTCTCACTTCTGGATTTTTCTTTTTTCTTTTTTTTTTTTTTTTTTTTTTTTTTCGTATATGTGGCTTGTATGAGATTGCTCTGTTCGACACGACTTACAATAGCAACCGCTAAATTGTCCATCGACGTCCTTATTAATCTAACAGAAACAGTGACATAGTCAGCACAGGGCGGAATTTCCATTTACTTTCAAGTCACACGTTATGTTTGTGGCTAAACATGGCAGGCCAAGGCGATGCACCAGTGCACGTTCGAAATAGTGATCATGAGTGCCATTCGGTAACGGCTTCATTAATCATGCATTATGGACTTCAATACAATGTCCGCAAATGCCAAATAAGGAAAACTTCTTCCCCACACATCCTATACGATATAATAGTACATAAGTAAGACCTCGAAACAGCTTGTTTAATTCGTTTACTTCAAAACAAACGTGTCCAAGGGCAGCACCACGATTAGATATAGAGTAGAGCATAGTGGAACAAAAACTTCCTCCACTTAAAGGCACAGCTCAGCTCGAACGATCGAACAATCCTGCCGGCTGTGTGTCCTATTCATTTAACACCCTAAAATGAAGTACCCATTCGGGAATATGGCGTTCTGGCCACGGTAGTTGCTGTTCTTACTGCTTTTGAATGATTTGTGGCCCGATCGCTCGACGCATTCCTGTTCGTTCACTGTCGGACGGCGTCCGTTGAGAGAAGATTCGCAAGGGTCCGCCCCGACTTAAAAAAGCAGTAAGTCGGGGGCTGGCAAGCGTTACAAGCGCAATTGCCATAGGGCGTGATGCTGAACGACCGCCGGCAGCAGTCCGCATTCGTGCTGTTAAGGGAACTTCATAAGAGTCAAGTAACAAACAAAAGTTAACATCGACGCCATTTTGTAGGCATAATCGTCGCGAGCAGTGGCAACAGCCTACGACAAAACGAAGAATAATATATTTTGTAGTGAGAATAAGATGCGTACGATGAATATACCCTGCTTCCAATCGACGGGATGAATTATAGTTCCTTCGCTAATGCTTTTTCATCCTTGAAAATCTAAAAATGAACCGTTGTTTCGGATGAAGCAGTCTTGATCATCAAACGAGGCCTATAAAGATTAATGCTATCGTCACTCGAGTGCTTCCTCAAAAGACGCGTCTATAAACGACTTCATCTCGAATCATTGTTTTCATACACACGAGACACACAAACAGATTGTTTCACTCTTTACTATAATTATTATTTTGTGCAATAGTGCAACAGTATTTAACTTATCAGTGTAGCGTCTCGCTAATAAAGCACTATCAACTATTAGACTAGAACGCATCTGTTGAGAGTTATAGTCCAAACTCTCACAGTTCGAGCTGATCTTAATTTTCACCAAACATAATCATCACCAATTTTCATGTTATCACCAATAACAGGTTTTAAATTAGAGCAAGTATTCAATTTGTTTTGCTCTTTAC